GTAAATGACAGAGCATCATGTGACTGACAAAGCATCATGTAACTGACAGAGCATCATGTGACAGATAGAGCATCGTGTGACATATAGCGCATTAAGCAACAGACAGAGCACCATGTGACAGACAGTGCATCATGTGACAGACAGAGCATCACGTGACAGACAGAGTATCATGTGACAGACAGAGCATCAAGTGACACACCTGGCCTTTAGTACGACTCTCTCGGTCTCTTATGTGCTGAGTGACGATTCTCTCCATTTCCTCTCGGAGCATTGGATACTGAGCCAACTACAGACAGGAAACAGGAAGTAGAAAACAGGAATAAGGCCACAGGAAACAGGAAACTTTAAACAACAGAGAGGGGAAAAAAGCAGCACAAGGAGAAATAAAAAGAAATAAAATTTTGACCAAAAAAACAGCACACAAGATGCAAGGAAACAGGAAGCAGGAAACAAGAATTCCGTTGTAAAAACAGGAAACAGAAGTAAACATGGTAAGCAGGAAACGCACAAAAAATCAGAAACAGATAAATATGAGAAAGGAAGAAGTAAATAAAAAGCAAGAATAAGCCAGAAAATATGGTGCAGAAAAACAAAAAGCAGGAAACAGGACGTCGAAAATAAAACAAGGAAACAGGAGGTAGAACACAAAAACGAAGCAGGAAACAGGAAAAACAAAAAAGGGAAACAGAGAAAAGTAATAGGAAAAACAAAGAAGAAGATAAAAGAAAACAGAAAGCAAGAAGCAAGAAAACAGGAAGGGACCAAAAGTATCAGCATGTGGGAAGCAGGAAAAGGGAAACAAAAAGAAAAGAAATAGGAAGGAAACGGAAGGCAGGAAATAAAGAGAGGTTAAAATGTTAGGAAATAATCTCACAGGTGAGACCAAAACTTTGTGTAAAAAGTATAAAATGTTCATCAGACAGTCATGTGATGCTTGAGGCACAACCTATGTGGGGATGGTGTACTTCCTGTCCTGTAGTACTGAGTAGTAACAGTAGGAGTACTATGTAGTATCAGTGGTAGTACTGTGTTGCAAAGGTGGGACCAAGTCATTGTTTTGCAAGTCTCAAGTCTTTATCCTCAAGTTTTGAGTCAAGACAGGCAAATGTCAAGTCCCAAGTTCTGAAACTTGACATTTCAAGTTTTTTCAAGTCTTTTTTTTAACTATGTTGCAATTATATGTTAAATGTAAATTATAAACTGTGTTCTTTTTGTAAGTCTGTATTCATCTCAAATCGTGATGAAACATGCAAATGAACGTACAAAGGGTTAAAAAGAGTCATTCTATAATTGCACCTTTAAATCGTTCAGTTAAACTTAGCTGCAAGAACAATCTTCCTTTAAACCATCATGTTCTAGAAGAAGCATTCAGTGAAAAATGCAAAAGCAGAACTCCATGTCCAGACAAAACGTACTGACACTTCCACAGTACATTACTGTGTGTATCACTTCCTGGTCTGCTGCCTTCATACATCTCCTCCTACATGTCTCTGTGTGAGTGCAGCTACAGCGTGCGCTCTCAGGACATTATTACTTGCTGTGTTCCCTCAGTGAGGACTGAACTAAACAAAAGGACCTTCTCCTACTCCGCTCCTGTTTCCTGGAATATCTTGTAAAAAGATCTCAAGCTCTCGACCTTGACCCACATTGTTCCTAGATGTCCCAAGAGCCAGCTTTGGTAAGCCAGGGTCAGAGCGCCAAGGACCCCTGCCTTCGGCCACTGCCCATAGCATCATGCACCTGACTTTTATGGCCCTTCCTGCAGGTGGCAGGTCCACAGGAAGTCAAACCCATGCTGCTCCTTCGGGCTGACCCCGACCGGGCCCCATGGGCAGAGACCTGGTCACCAGGCGCTCGCCGACAAGCCCTTCCCCCAGGCCTGGCACCAGGGTGGGGCCCCTGTAACCCACGTCCGGGCAAGGGACACTGAGTTCCTTGTTTTGTTTTGTCCATAAAAATCTTCTGAATCGCTCTTTGTCTGGCCTGTCACCTAGGACCAATCTGCCTTGGGAGACCCTACCAGGGGTTCCGTCCTGGCCGTGGAACACTGGACCAACTCTTTACCCTCACTAGGGTCCCTGAGGGGTCATGGGAGTTTGCCCATCCAGTCTACATGTGTTTTGTGGACTTGGAGAAGGCATTCGACTGTGTTCCTTGGGGTACACTGTGGGGGGTGCTCCGTGAGTATGGGATTGGAGGCCCGTTGTTACGGGCTGTTCAGTCCCTGTACAAGCGGTGCGAGAGTTTGGTTCACATTGCCGGTAGTAAGTCTGACCCCTTCAGGGTGGGAGTTGGACTCCACCAGGGCTGCCCGTTGTCACCAATTCTGTTCATAACTTTTATGGACAGAATTTCTCAGTGCAGCCAGGGGGTGGAGGGAGTCCAGTCCAGTGGCTTCAGGCTTCATCTCTGCTCTTTGCAGATGATGTGGTCCTGTTGGAGTCATCGTGTCGTGATCTTCAGCTCTCACTGGAGCGGTTCACAGCCGAGTGTGAAGCAGCTGGGATGAGAATCGGCACCTCCAGATCTGAGTCCATGGTCCTCAACCGGAAAAGGGTGGATTGTTCTCTTCAGGTCGAGGGTGAGGTTCTGCCTCAAGTGGAAGAGTTCAAGTATCTCAGGGTTTTGTTCACACGTGAGGGAAGAATGGAGCATGAGATTGACAGATGGATTGGTGCAGCGTCTGCAATATTGAGGACCCTGTACCGGTCCATTGTGGTGAAGAGAGAGCTGAGCTGTAAGACAAAGCTCTCTGTTTACTGGTCGGTCTACATTCCTCCCCTCACCTCTGGTCATGAACTCTGGGTAGAGACTGAAAGAATGAGATTGTGGATACAGGAGGTTGAAATGAGTTTCCTCTACAGGGTAGCTGGAGAGACAGGGTGAGAAGTTCAGTTATCAGGAGAGACTCAGAGTAGAACCACTGCTCCTCCACATCCAGAGGAACCAGTTGAGGTGGTTCGGGCATCTGGTAAGGATGCCCCCACTGGGCACCTTCCTAGAGAGGTGCTTCGGGCATGTCCAACTGGGAGGAGAGCCTGGGGAAGACCCAGGACACGCTGGAGAGACTATGTCTCTCAGTTCACCTGGGAACTCCTTGGAGTGCTCTCAGAAGAGCTAGAAGAGGCTGTGGAGAGAGATGTCTGGGCCTCCCTGCTCAAGATGCTGCCCTCGAGACCCGACTTCAGAATAAGCACAAGATAATGGATGTATGGATGGACCTTACAATCTACATGTTTTTTTTCTTCGCTACTTTTCCTTTTGACTGTCCTTTTGGATGCTATTTTGTTTCGATTTGTAAAAATAAATAAAAGTAAATTTGTATGTCTCTTTTGTGACTGTTGTTTTCATTGTTGTCATCACTCTTTGTTAAATCAGGTCTCTCTTGTAAATGAGTCCCAGAGGCTCAGTGGGACTAACCTGTAGAAATAAAGGTTGATTGAATGAAAAATGACAAAGAACCATCAGAGTAAATTTATTTCCTCTCCTCTCATCTGGTCACTCAGTGAACAGATGTCAGTTTGTGTCCATGTGTGAGTGACAGAGACACAAAACAAATACATGACCTGAACAATGAACAGGAATGTGCACTTTAAGTTATTTCACTTAGTCAGCATTTGCAAAAGACCAAAAGTCTCAGTCATTTGTGCACGAGGCCATAGAACGAGCTGAAAACTTGCTCCACTGGAGCGCTACCTGCAGGCACTGCCAGAACTCTGGTGGCCTCATGAAACAGTGAAGGACAGTCTGCATGGTCATTGTCCAGAACAAGTTCTGTCCATCAGCAATGTCCAGGTAGAGACTCAGCTGTAGTGCTGGACTGTTTTGTGTCAGTGGGTCACATGACATGAAAGTGTATCCGGTTAAAGTAGCAGGGGTCACCAGAAATCGTGACAAAGTACTCGGTTCCACCGAATAAACTTCCTTAGAAGTGGAGCATTTACTGCTCGGGTTGAGTGCACAGCGATGCGAGCTGAAACTCCGCTAAATGGAGGGACCCCTTGGCACATGGTCCCATCCATCCGCTGCTTAAGTGAGTCTCATCTCTGACCGAAAGTTCCAGCAAGACTTAGAAGAGACTAAGACTCGTGAAGACTTTGACTGAGTTCCAGGACTGAACTCCAGGACTGCACTCCAGGACTGCACTCCAGGACTGAACTCAGTTCCAGGACCGAACGGAGTTCCAGGACCGAACTGAATAGTTACACGAAGTGTTCCTTTTAAAGGGGTATACACTTCCTGTTACGTGGTACTTCCTGATTGGTTGAAACAACCAGCAGGGGGTGGTTCTAGTGATGTCAAGAGGGTCACTAGAAGTCAAGAGACAGCAGGAATGTTTATGAACGGTTAGTACAGACAGAGAAATATTATGACGAAGTGAGACAAACTCAGGTGCCAGTTGAAGTTATTTACTGTCTGCTAGTTTTAAAAACAAGACACTTCGTTCTAATAACCCATCTCTGTTTGTCTCTGACTTTCGACCGACATCACTAAATGCACACTTACTTCGTAAATAGGCATTTAACTGTATGATCAAAAATCTGCTGAGGTTTAAAAATCATTAATACTGTTTCACAGTTGATTTAAATGAGTGGTTCACTTCAACATTTAGAAATGGTATGAACTAAACACACTTTTGATTATCAAGATATTGTAAAATAGTAATGATAAAAAAGAAGAGTGTTCTTTCAATTGATTAATTCAGGATACAATTAAATAGTCTCTTGATGAGATAATTTGTATTTCTGGATTCAAATCAATGAAATAACAGTTCCTGTCCCCTGAAGGTCCTCAGAGACAGGTTGAGGTCGGAGGCCTAGTTCACTACAGTAGTAACAGTCGTATTACAGAGTCGAAACAGTGGTAGTATGATGTAACAGTGGTAGTACTGAGTAGTAACAGTGGTAGTATAGTGTTGTAACAGTGATAGTACTGAGTAATAACCGTAGTAGTAGGGTGTTGTAACAGTGGTAGTACTGAGTAGTAACAGTGGTAGTATGGTGTTGTAACAGCAGTAATACTGAGTAGAAAGAGTGATAGTACTAAGTAGTAAGAGTGATAGTACTGAGTAGTAAGAGTGATAGTACTGAGTAGTAACAATGATAGTACTGAGTAGCACCAGTGGTAGTAATGAGTAGTAATAGTGGTAGTACTGAGTAGTAACAGTGATAGCACTGAGTAGTAACAGTGGTAGTACTTGCAATACCTTCTGTGTACACTGCCTCACAGTGTTGACAAGCTCGTTGATCACCAGGTCCACACACTTCTGACACGGCTCTTTGAGCTGAGCAATCTGACGCTTTACGATGGTCTCGAACGCCATGTCAGGTGTGAACAGACCCGTCCTGAACATAGAACACAGGGAGACCACACCAGTAAAAACACGGTAATCTGTAAAAACCCATGCAGACGTGAAACCCACCTGATTCCGTGGATGTTCTTGATGGCATAGCTGATTTCCTTACGTAGCGTCTTCTCATCGCTCTCCAGCTGCACGTGAAACACGTTAATGACATGTGTTGAACTCCCGTAGGACATCCTGCAACCTGTTACCACGGCAACAATCCTTTACCTTGACCAGTTCGAAGGGAAATCGCTCATGGAAGACACGATTGATTTTCGCCCCTCCTGAAAGCTCGTATGTGTCCACCTGGTCTCCAGAACCTTCGATCCGTTTCTCAAAGTCCACAGCGAACTGTTGTACCATCCTGAAACACACACAGCACCATCAATCACTGGATGCTCAACATAGTACTGCGGTGTTCTGAGTACTACTTTGATGTGCATTGGTACTGACTGCAGCAGGGCCTTGGTCTTGCGGCTCGGGTCATCTGGTCTAAAGTTCTTATACTCCTCTACCTCCTTCTCGATGGACAGAAGTTGGCTCTGGAGTTTACTGCGTAACCCTGGCAACGTGTCCCGGATGTGGTTGGTTAGTTGCTAGGGGTAACGGAGAGATGCTGTGTTACTGCAGCAGCTGGATGAATCTGGACCAGCAGAGTGGATTTCACCACTGTCTTATAAACTTTGGCCTTTGCTGACACCTTTTAGTCACAAATTACTCCTGAAACTTTTCTCATCCACTCCATCCTGCCTGGACTCTCTTCTTCACCTCTTTACCACATTCCCCATTTTCCTGGACAGTGGACCTCAAGTCCTTGAAGTCCTGCACCTTTGTGACCTCTGCTCCTTGTAGACTCACTGTTCCACAACTGTTCCAACTCTGAGCTGAAAACATGGATGCTAAATGAGGACAGATCTGACAGGTTTACCTGGTTGAGGACTTTCTGCAGGTAGGCGGTGCCCATACGGTCCGCCAGGTGACGATACGCAGGATGAGACAGGAAGAACTTCCTCTCAGCCTGCAGAGCTGCCGTGATGTCTTTCTTCCCATCAATGTCTTTCTGACTGCGATTCACCACCCCGATGTAACCTGAGGTCAGAAAATGTCTCTTAAAGTTTCCGAGTGGACACCTGGACTCAGCTGTCTCTGACTGGAAACATGGACTTTGTTGTGTCTCCAAGTGAGCCCTTGGATTCTGTTGTGTCAGATTGTACATCTGGATGGACGCTGAGTCTGAGTTGACACCTGGACCTTATTCTGTCTTTATGTGGACATCTGGACTCTGCATGTCTCCTAGTAAACTCATGGACTCTGTTCTGGTTCTAATTGGACACCTCAGTCTCTGAGAAAAATGACACACCAGTTTGCAGTAACTTTCTGTTTTAATCAATAAAGAACTGGTAACCAATCAGAAGTCGGATTTGTTGTGATGTCATACCTCTGCGTAGCGGCAGAAGTTTGTTCTCCAGAATATCTCTGGCATCGGTTCCTTCGTCCATCAAGTCCAGTTTGGTGATGACGCCGATAGTCCTCAGACCTGCAGCACACACAAGCTTTACCCTCTAACTTGAGGTGGACTTTTAAGTGACCCAGGCAGATCTCAGAGTCAAGTTTGCAGGTGGACGTAGACTCAGACCTTGTGGATCTACCTCCTTGGCGATCTTCAAAGCATCTGAGTTGGCAAGGTCAGAGTTGGCTGGAGAAACCGCCAACAGGAGACAGTTGTCCTTGGTGACAAACTGCATGAGCATTTCTCTGATCTGGTGCTCGATGTCTGCCGGCTGGTCGCCCACTGGAACCTTTGTCATCCCCGGAAGGTCCACCAGAGTCAGGTTCAGCACTGCACACACATAACATAGTCAGCACAGGCACAGTGTTTCTGTCAGGTATCTTTAGAGCATGTCTGGTGAGTTACCATTGGGAGAGTACACTCTCAGGTTGATGGGAACAGGACTGATTCCTTTGTTGTGTCCTGTCACTCGATCCGTTTCAGCCTCGATCTCCTGACGAACTTCATCAAAATCAGTGAACTTCTTCCCTTTGCAGTGCAGGAACTCTGCATACTCTGATCAGTACAAAACACATCGGATCAATGACATCACATAAGATCAATACACCTCAAAGTTAAACAGTGTCTCCTCAGTCTCACCTGTTGGACAGTTGATGAGCTGAAGCACCAAGGGGCGCCGAGTGACGATTCCTGAACCACGAGGAAGGAAGTCCCTGTTAGGAGGAAGAGCTTATTAATGCCACACCTACTTTTATAAACAAATAAATTAGGTTAACCTGTTAACTTGATAACTCAGGCTTGTGATGATCTGATACAGAAGTGACGCAGCATAAAAATTCACACTTCCTCAGACATGTGATGTTTACAAACCGGATTCCAAAAAAGTTGGGCCACTAAACAAATTGAGAATAAAAACTGAATGCAATGATGTGGAGGTGCCAACATCTAATATTTTATTCAGAATAGAACACAAATCACAGATTAAAAGTTTAAACTGAGAGAATGTATCATTTTAAGGGAAAAATCTCGTTTCCAAATTTCATGGCGTCAACAAATCCCAAAAAAGTTGGGACAAGTCCATTTTTACCACTGTGTGGCATCCCCCCTTCTTCTTACAACACTCAACAGACGTCTGGGGACAGAGGAGACCAGTTTCTC